ACGAGTTAATCTTTCTTGAACCGCAACTTCAATTTCTTCGTAAGCCTGGCATTTTCTGGCTACTTGTTGATAATTGAGAGTGATAGTTCGAATTTGTTCTTGAAGAAGTTGAATTTGATTTTGTAATTGTTCTTTTTCTGTTTGAATTGCTTGCTTTTCAGATTCTTTTTTGTTCAATTGTTCTCTACCTAACCTTTCTAGTTCTTCCTTTTCTCTTTCCTTACTCGATAATTCTTGATTTTTAAGTTTTAAGGCACTTTCTCCCGCTTGAATTAACTGATTATACTCTTGTTTTTCTTGAGTGTAATGGTCGTGGAGATTAGTTATTTGTTGGTTGATTTCTAGTCGAAATTGAGTTGATTCTCGCAGTAGATTTTTGTAGTTGCAAGTTAACTTCGAAGAACGCTTTTTTCAATTGTTTATTTCTAGGGCACTAGCAATTTCTAAATCGTAGAACAAATTCTTCAATTCTCTGCTAGAAATCTCTAAATCTTTTGGGATGCCAGGTCGGAAAAGGGAGAAAATACTAGAGTTGGAAGATTGAACTGACTCTTGAAATTTGGTGAAGTTTTCCCGAAACTCTCTTTTACAGTTGGAAATTTTTTTCGTGTTTTGGATATGTATTTCTCTATCCTTAGTTATGTCTTCGTAAAATTCTTTGTTCTGAAAAGTTACTAATTCTGAGTTAAAGTAATCGGCTTTTTTTATTAAGCAATCAAAATTACTTATAACTTTACTGCTAAAACCTCCGATTTTAGTTAAGTCGAAAATTTGTTCTTCCCCCTCTCTAATAATTGTTTGGCTAGTTCCCGGGGTGTTTTGATGTTCCTCTCTTAATTCGGCCAGATTTCCAAAACGAGCAACTCAGTGAGGAATGTAACCTTTTCCTTCAAGTTGAACAACCAAGTCAAAGTCAGTGGGAATTAAGCCCGCATTAATTCATTCTCTCGTTCGTTTGTAACTAAACCCTCGGCTTTCTCAAGCCGAAACTAATTCTGGAGTAAAGTCGGGATTAATACCTTCTTTCCAACCGCTTAATTTATTTTTTTTATTTTCTTTATTTAGTTCTTCGAAGTTAATTTCAGTTAATTTTTCCCGAATTCAGGACAATACTTCAATTTCGTCTTCTACTGTGGATTCTTTACTCTCGCTTTTATCCAACAGTTTTTTTATTTCTAAAACTCCTTGAGTTAATTCTAGGTAGGAACAGTCGGGAGAAGTAGGAACCTCTTTGACTTTTATGCTGCCTTTGGGGACAATAATTGCAAAAGTCTCCCCTTCCTCTAAAACTCCAACTTTTTGGTCTCACTCTTCATCTTTTTGGGAATTTGGAACAACTATTATTCCGACCTTCTTTCCACCGTATTTAATTGCGTCTGTTGAGTGGAAGCGAATTTTAAAGTGGTCAGACAAACTAAATACTCCCCCAACTGTGAAAATTACTGTTTCTTGACTTTGGTTAGTACGTTCATTTTTTAACATGGTTGAATTTACATTTTATTGGTTTGGGTTTGATTTTCAGTTTGGTTTGTTTGTTCTACTGCTTGTCTTAATCTTTGGACTTGGAGTTCGGTAGTCATTAAACCCATTTGCTGGTGAATTTTTTCCAGAGTT